ACTTCTGACCGCAACACATATGAATTTGATCTCCTGTTGGTATAGCCCGGTAGGCTTGTGGAAGAGCCTATTTCGTTACGAATGCATGTTCGACATGTGCTGCATTTGCTTGACTGGACAAATTATTAGTTTTTTTTTTTGTTTGGACGGTGAGTTTGATGATTATTTCGACACAATATTTGTTAATAGAAGATTCAGAGTATGACCAAAGTAAGTCAATAAAGCTAAACCAAGCCCAGAAATTAGATTAACGTACGATTATTCTTTGTCGGTTACTCTCTGTACAGCGGATTAAAACCGGTATTTGCCCCATCTCGTTGTTAGATGCGTGAGACGTTTAGGGTTCAGCAGTTTCGGATCGGAGTAAAGCTAGCGTTACCGCCTCGTCCGTTAGTGTACCGCTCCTTAGTCTCCCTTTATATCGATCTGCGCATTCGCCTTCGCTAGCGTCACTTGTTTGCAATCTCATCGACGAGTCAGCGTTGATTTGAAAGCTTCTATAGCGGAAAAATGAAGCTCGTCAGGTAGAAATCACCCATTCAATATAATCGCTGTTTTTTTCATTCCATATTGTACGTTGCCAAGGCGTCGGCTTGCTGTATTCTGACAGTCTGGTTGCTCCTGAACTTGTGCAGGTTTCTTATGAAGCTTAACAATGAGACGGTGTCCATCGAGCTGAAGAATGGCACGATTGTACACGGGACCATTCTTGGTAAGGCTCTTAAAATCGCATCTTGCCTTCCCATCCCGGTGTCGTCTCCATTCATCGCTGAACTCAGTTAGTTACGCACTTCTTCCAGACCAACCGATTTCTCAGTTCCTTTACAATGAAAGGATTGAACCTCTAATTGCCAGCCTTGATTATGCCCCGTCTAAAACTCCCCCATTTTCCCGGATTTTCCTCCTTCCGCTCTGCTGGATTTTTCCGCTCTTTCCGTTCGGCGGATCTTCGTGAACCCGCAAATAGTCGTCGCTCTAAGATGCTGGCAGCTTGACAATTGACAATTGTACGTAGTTGCAGAGGTAACATGATATTCTCATCACGCAGCTCATTTCTGTCTCATTTTTACTTCAATCTTTCTCCCGTTTTCCCGGTTTCGCTGCTGCGTCTCCCTCCCCCCTCCCCTCCCTTTCCCCCACGCCCGCTCGGCGTTTCCACTCCCCACCCCCCCCTCCCCCTCTTCCCTCCCCCTCCCCCCTTCTCCTCTCCCCCTTTCCCGCCCATTCCTCCCCCTCCTCCCCCCCCATGCTGATTTTGTGGCTCCATCCGCTGACACACTCCAGGAGTGGACATCAGTATGAACACCCACCTCAAAACAGTGAAGCTTACTGTTAAGGGCAAAAATCCAGTAGCCCTGGACCATTTGAGTGTACGGGGGCACACAATCCGGTATTTCATCCTGCCAGACAGCTTGAATCTTGACACGCTATTGGTGGATGATGCGCCCCGACGAAAGGCAAAGAAACAACCAGCAGGTATGTGTAGTAGCCATGGCCGTGTGCATTTGTTTAATGTTTGTACTGATGCTGCACCGACAAGTACGTACACCCAATCCAATATGATTGTTTTATGGCTGATTCTTCAGGTCGGGGTGGAGCACTGGGAAGAGGTAGGGGACGAGGAAGGGGGAGGGGTCGTGGTCGTGGCCGCGGCTGACATCCCTTTTGCAGGGCTGTCCTTCAGACAGAACCTCAAACTTAACATGCATGCAGTCTCCATGAACATACGGTGCCACGTTAGTGTACACATTAATCTTCTGTAGTAGGATGGAATGTTTACAATAATGATAAGCATAGTTTGGAATGCAGTTTTGCATGCAGTTAAGGCTGCAGACTATTTTGTCTGTAACATTCCCGGTATTAGCACTTGCCACGCACGCGTCTCGGCACTAGGCCCGACATTGTCGCTACTTTTCCTCGCTCGCCTCGCCTGCCTCGCATAAAAGCTGGAAGGAAACGAACTGGATGCCCTACACACTGCATCTATTCCTCTACCTCTCGCCTAAGATTACACTCGTCTGCCTTTTCCGTTCTTTCGTCAACTCCCTCCCCCCGACAACTCCCTCCCACTCGTGACGAATCCCTCCCGACGGTCTGCATGACCTCGCCTGTCCAACCACGGATGGCCCAGTTTCCCGTCTCGCATTGCGTAGCCTTGGATGTAGGGTTTGCTGGGAGCTTCGAGATTCGGCTTACCGCCTTGCTGGTGCTTCTAGGGATCCATAGCTGGTTGTTCTATCGGGCTAAGGCGACTTGTAGGCGGATCGGGCCAGTTCTGCCATTTTTTTTGCTGTCTGGTAACGGATTTTGGTTCAGGACCCAACCTGACGGAATATATTCCGTTCCGGCAGCAGCTGAATCCGTCCGGCCACCCTGACTGAGTCTCGTAGGTGCTCTTGCCCCATTCCTAGGCTCTCCCGCTGAATTCCGCTCTACAGCCACTCTTATCGTTTCCCCGAGCACCCTTCAACTCGTCAGTCTTACTTGAGAGCACTGCTTCCGCGCTCTTTCGTAATTATATAGGTTTTCGTTTCTAGATTCCCCCGCGCAGGCTATTCCAAACCAGAATCTTGTATAGTGAGCCTCGATAACGCGATTAGCGCCGCATCGCTCTTTGTCACCTCGTTCGCCGCAAGTTCGTCTCTGTCCGCGTCGCTCCACGCGTCATTGTACTTCCTGGGTGTTTCCGTCGTTTTTCCTTCACGTTCCCGTCACCTGGCTAGCCCTGTGATTGTATCGGAAGATGGTTTTGGACTCTTTTGTTCTTGCTTCGATATTATCGCCTGGAGTTACGGAATCTCGGACATTTGAAGCGCTCCAGCTGCAGTTTAGGGTTGCGACGTTGTTTCCTTCGTGTTACCGTTGTTTCGTTCTTGTTACCGTTTGTTTCCGTCATTCTATCGTTAATCCCTTCATGTAACCGTTAATTCCTTAATGTAGCCGTTGATTCGTTCATGTTACCGTTAATTCCTTCATGTTACCGTTGATTCCTTCATCAACCGTTGATTCCATTATATTACCGTTCATTCCTTCATGTTGCCGTTCATTCCTTCATGTTACCGTTCATTCCTTCACGTTACCGTTGATTCCTTCATGTTACCGTTCATTCCTTCATGTTACCTTTCATTCCTTCACTCACGTTACCGTTAATTCCTTCATGTTACCGTTCATTCCTTCATGTTACCGTTCATTCCTTCATGTTACCGTTCATTCCTTCATGTTACCGTTCATTCCTTCATGTCACAGATGCTATTTCACGTTACCGCTGATTCCTTCATAATGTTACCGTTGTTTCCCTTCCTCCATGTTTGCACAGGTCATGAGCTGTCAGGACGGATCAGGCAAACCAGCACACGCCAAATCCCAGTCTGCTGTGACGACAGCTGTCGGCACACGATTGGCTGGTTCCATTGGCCAGCCAAGCGATGCCAGTGCAGGTGGAATGGCCAGCGTTGCTGCTGCTGCTGCTGCTGCTGGTGGTAATGGTGGGCTGGATGTTGCTGCTGCTCCTGCTGCTGTTGATGGAGGTTTGCTGCTGTCCATGGTAGCTGCTGTTTCTGCTGCTGCCACTGCCACTGCCACTGCCACTGCAGTTGTTTCTGCCTCTAGTGGTGCTGCTGCTTCAGCTAATGGTGGTGGTGAAAGTGATGGCACAGCAGCCCCATCAGCTACTCATGCCACCAGGGCTCTGCTACCATGCTATCAGCTAGCTGGCGTGCCTGCGCTTAGGGCTCCTCCTCCTCCTCGTCCTCCTCCACCTCCTTCTGCCGCTGCCGCCTCCGCCGCCGCCGCTGCTGCTGCTTCTCCTGCTGACACAACGCCTGCTACAGTCTCCTCTCCTGTGCATATGGGAGGAACAAGGCCCTGCACAACAAGTGCTATCAGTGGGGAACCAGCACGAGTTAATTCGGCAACTGATGCAGCTGACACATCAGTTGAAACGACTGTTGATACAGCAGATGAGGTGGCAGCGAAATTGGATTATCCTGCAGCTGATGTGGCAGTTAAATCAAGAGTTGATGCTGGAGCAGAAGCAGTGGCTGACGTGGCAGACAATTCAAGAGCTGATACACCACCTGAAGCTGCACCTGACGTGGCTGCGGAATCAAGAGCTGATACTGCAGCTGAAGTGGCAGATACGAGAGCTGGACAAACGAATCACAACGCGACACTTGTCGGGGTTCACTCCGACAGCTCGGCAGCTGAAGCAGAGGCGGACACGAAAAGTTTGGTGACCACTGATAAGACGACACGTGTCAATGGTAACACTGACGTGGCAGCTGAAGCAGAGGCGGACAAGAGGAGCCGCAAGCTGAGGAAGAAGAAGCGGCTGGTGTGTGAGAGAGCTTGATGCAACTACCTCCCTGCCCATCCTCTCCATTGTTTCGTTTTCCTTTCTGCCGTTGTCTTGTTTCGGCTTCTTCTCTTCCTCCTTTTCATTATTTCGTTGATTGTTCCTGGTATTCTCCTCCTGCTCCTCCTCCTCTCCCCCCCCACCCGTATGCCCCTGTCAGGCCGATGCGTTGGCAGGAAGTAAATGTTATGTTTTGCCCTGAGAAACGCTGTGTGATTAGACGATTCTTGAGGCGCCGACCTTATATTTCTCCTCTCTTCCATGCCCCTGTCAGGCTGAAGGGATGGCAGGAAAAGAGTTTAATAACTTTCCTCGAAAAACACCTTTTGTGAGACGATTCTTGATGCGCCCAACAAGTTTCCTCTGCCCTCATCAGGTCGTCCTCCTCCCCTCCATGCCCTTTCAGGCCGATGACATGGCAGGAGAAGAGTTTTTCTTCCTGCCCAGAAAAACGCCAACGAGACGGCCTAAAAAAGCCGTGCCCGAACCACTTTCCGAGCCTGCGACCAGACCTGCCGGTGAACCTGCTACCAAGCCTGTGACCGAACCTGGTCCCAATCCTGATACGGAGGCAAAGCATGTGCTTCTATCAGAATTGTCTGCAGCAGCAGAGCGTGTCAGGTCAGGACTTGACGGGGCAGGGCTTATGGGAGCAGAAGTAGCGGAAACACAGTCACTGAACGAGGCTGCGTTGCGGGAAGAATCAGAAGCGCAGCCAGGAGCCTTTGAGTCGACTCACATGGCGTGTGCGGCAGCTGCGGGTGCGAGTGGCCCTGCAGCAGCAGAGGCTTTGAGTACTGGTGCGAGTGGCCGTGCAGCAGGCAGTGCATTGGGCAGTGCACTGGTGTGCGCTTCTGATGCTTCTGGCTGTCCAGGAACAGTGTCTCAGAGCTTTGTGCGTGTGCAGCTGCAAGCGGTGCCTCTGCAATTGCAGCAGCAGCAGCAGCAGCAGTGGTTGCAGCATAAGCAGCAGAATCACCATTGGCAGCAGCAGTGGCGGCAGAAGCTGAGTCTGACTCAGCCTGATAATATTCCCTGGGAGCTTCGAGAGAGCAAGCCGACCAATAGAGACGCGCCACTTGGCGCACTTGGTACCAATGGCGTGGGAGCATTCAAATGCGTTTCGTTGTTGACAGAAGGGGTGCGTGTAGGAGACTATATAGAAGGGGCTAATACCGAGGGGCCACTAAAGGGGATGTTTTCAGAGATGGAGGGAGTTGGGTTGTTACGGGAAATGAGGGAAGGGGTGGATGTGGGGAGGGCTGGAAGAGGTGATGGAATGAGGGACGAGGAGAGGGGTGGTGTAAAAGAAGAGAAGCCGTCTTATGGTGATGGTGGTGTTGCTGATTGTGTTGTTGGTGTTGCTCATGTGGAGCAGAATTGCTTGCCAGGGGCAGATGTGGTGGGGGCTGGGAGGGGTGGTGGTGGATCGGGTGGTGAGGAGGAGGGGCTTGGAGTGGGAGAAGAGAAGACGGTATGTGTCGGTGGTGGTGTTGGTGTTGCTCTTGTGGAGCAGAACTGTCTGCCAGGGGTTGAGAGTAAAAAAGGGAGCAAGGGGAAGCGGAAGGGGGTGGGGAAAGTGAAGGAGGGAGGGAAGGTTGAAGCGCGTTGTAAAGGGGCTAAAGCAAAGGCAGGAGGCAAGGCAAAAGCAGGAGGAGGGTTAAGCGGGGCAGGGCTGGAGAAGGGAGGTGCAAACCCCAAAGATAAGTCCAAGTCTGTAAAAACTGCCAAGGCTGCAGGTTCGGCCAAGGCTTCAGGTACGGCCAAGGCTGTAGGTACGGCCAAGGCTCAGAGGAAGCGTGATGAAGCAGGGGGGCAAGCAGGTGGGGCAGGGAAGAAGGCGAAGGGGGCGGGAGGAAAGAGGAAGGGGATTGCGGCTGTGATGCATGAGGGTGGTGGGAGTGAGGGTGGTGTTTCTGGGTCAGGTGCAGGTGGTCTGGTAGTTGGGATCCTATCTGTTCCGCCCCCTCTTCCCCTTGTGCCGCCTTCTCCTCCTCCCCACCCTCCCTCCACTCCTCCCCCTCCCCCGCTCCCTTCTCCCCCATCCCCCCCGCCTCCTCCCCTCCCCCCGCCCCCGCCCCTGCCCAAGCCCTGTTTCGACTTCCTCCTCCCCAGCAGCAGCATTGGGGATTTGATTGCAGTCTGGGACTTCTGCTGCCGCTTCTCCCCCGCCCTCCGCCTCTCGCCCTTCTCCCTCTCGTCCCTGGAGCTTTCCCTGGCTTTTGAGGGGGAGGATGGGGGCGGGGGGAGGCGCGGAATGGGGGGAGGACTGGCGGGGAGAGAGGGCGCGAGGAGATTTGTGAAGGGAGAAGCTGAGGGATTGGAGTGCGAGCGGCGGGATGGGCATGGGGAAGTACAGGGGGGAGAGCAGGGGGGAGAGCAGGGGGGAAGCCAGGTGGAAGAGCAGGGGGGAGAGCGTGGGGGAGAGCAGGGGGGAAGCAAGGGGGAAGAGCAGGGGGGAGAGCAGGGGGGAGAGCAGGGGGGGGAAGCAAGGGGGGCAGCAAGAGGACGAGCAAAGGGAGAAGCATGGAGAGGAGCAAAGGGAGAAGCAGGGGGGAGAGAAGGGGGCAGTGCAGGGGGAGGAGAAATGGCGACAGCATATGGAAGGGCAGGAAACGGGGGGAGGGGATGGGTGCCGGAAAGGGGGGAGGATGGAAGAGGAGGAATTGGACGAACATGCATTGAAAGAGGGGATTTTGGAAGACGAAAAATTGGATGTGGGGAAGTTGGAAGAGGGAAAGGTGGAAGAGGGGAACTCGGAAGAGGAGAGATTGGAAGAGGAGGAAAATGAGGGGTCGGAAAGAGGGTGGGATTGGGGGGCAGGGTGGGGGAAGGGGCGGGGGCTGAGAGGCAGGCGGGATGGAGGAGGAAAGGAAGGCGGAGGGAGGGAGAGAGGGGAGAGGGAAAGAACACAGGGAGAGCTAGGGAATGGAAGGGTGAGCGGCAGGAGGGGACAACGCAAAGGAGGGAGTGAGGGAGGGAGTGAGGGAGGAGGAAGTTGTGGAGAGGTTGTGTTACCGCCGCTGTTGGGGGAGGTGCATACGGCACTGCTGCGTGCTGCTCTGAGCCACAAGGGACTTGAAGACGAGTTCAAGAGACAGCGGCAGGGGAAGAAGGAGGTAGGTGGTGCCGTGGTGGTATGTGCGATGCACGCCTTTAGTTGAACAAAAAATCCGTACATTGGCCCTTGAGAACATTGTTTAAGAGTTTTCAAATGCCGAACAACTTCTACACTGGCCTCTCATGTATCGGTCCACATTTGGCTTCTGAACCTTTCTGCAAGGTTAAAAAAGTGATGTAGAAAAAAACACTCTAATCAAGCGCTTCCTTTCCTACTCTCTCCCCCACCTTCAGGTGTCGCCCCACACGTGGCTGGAGGACGTGTCAGCATGGGCCAACACCCCTTCAGTGCGCTCCAGACTGCATTCCGAGACATCTCAGAGCTGTTTCAAGAATCCTATCAGGTCCCCTTCAGTACATGGGAGACTGCATCTCGAAACGTCTCAGAAGACCTTTGAAGACTCTGTCAGGCGCCCTTCAGAGCGAGACAGCCTGCAGCCACGTAGGTTGATCCTCAATGTCTTGGAACAGTCCCAGGCATGTCGATCCAACGGTCCACAGCTTGTGGAGGCCTGTGCATCTGACGGTTGGAAGGTGCTGAGCGTGGCTGAGTGCTTGGGTCGCGGTGACCGGGGCTGTGGTCGTGCTAATGCTGGTGATGCTGCTGCTGCTCTTGATACTGATGCTGTTGATGCGGATGGTGCTGCTATGGGTGCTACTAGTGGCAGTGGCAACGGCAAGGAAACAGCTTCAACTGCTACTGCTGCAGCTGCTGCTCCTGCTGCTGCTTCTAGTAGGATACATATCAAAAGCTCTCTAGATCCTTCTACTCTTCCATTTCGCATTTCACCGAGCTGCTATTCTAGCCTCGGCGCCGAAGCAAAGCTGCTCTTGCTTCGGGAGCTGGTGAACGCTGCACTGGAGGGGGACATTCTTCGGGCAGCTGTGGAGAAGAAAGTTTTGGCGGAGGAGGAACGAGTTTGCAGAGAGAAAGCAGCGTTGCGGGAGAGAGTGAGAAAGAGGGAGAGAGAAGAGAGGGAGAAGGAGCGGAAGGAAAGGGAGGAGAGGTCGAGGAGAGAAGAGGAGGAGAGGGTACGGAGGGAGGAGAGGGAGAGAAGATGGAGGTGGGGAGGGAGGCAGCAACGGTCTCGGAGTAGCTGCTGTGACAAGCTTACGTGTAAAGTGGTATCTGCTCCTGGGGATGAGGCAATGTGTGTGAGTGTCGACGCTGGTGCGGGCGGTAATGCTGGTGTAACGATCTCCACCGATGTCGATGCAAGTGTCCACACGAGTGTCGATCCCAGTGGCGTCTCTCCCCGCGTTCAGTCTTCTTTTGCAGATCCTCCTGCTATGGGTGAACCATCCTCTAGTGGTGATGGTGGTAGTGCTACTACTGAACGTGCTGAGATTGAGTCATCAGGGGCTTGTGACGGTGGGGCTGCTGCTGCTGCTGCTGCTGCTGGTAGTGCCGTTGCTGATTGTCCTATGGATGAACCATCTGGTGGGGCTGCTGCTGCTGGGGGTAGAAGTAGTGCTACTGTCGGTTGTGCTGCTGCTACAGATACGATAGACGGGGGCGCAACCGCCACAGCTGCCACTGACGCTGCTGCAGGTGCTAGAGATGGAACTGATGGGGATACAATTGCTACAACTTGTACAGCTATCACTGATGCTGCCACAGCTGCTACAGATACTGTTTATGGAAATGCAGCTGCTACAGATGCCACTGATGCTGCTGATACTGTTACAGATAGCATAGACGGGGGTGCAACTGCTACAGTTGCCACAGATGGTGCCACAACTGTTGCAGCTGCTACCGACGCTACACCTGGAGGAGCAGAATCCTTATCGCTCCCCTCATTGGCTGCTGGCAGGGGCAGGAAACGGGGGCTATCCTGGCCCACCAGTGGCAGGAGGACACGTGGCACTTGCAGAAGACAGTCTGTAGGAGGGCTGTCCGATGATGTGAGGGAGGGGGAAGGGGAGGAGAGAAGGGAGGAGGGGAGGGAGGAGGGGAAGGAGGAGGGGAAGGAGGAGGGAAGGGAGGAGGGGAGAGAGGAGGAGGCGAGGGAAGAGGGGAGTGAGGAGGGAAAAAGGGAGGGCGGAGGAGGGGATGGAGGGATGGGTATGCGTACCAGGGGAAGGAAACGAGGAAGGAGTGGAGGAAAGGCTGGTATTGGGAGTGAGGGTGGGAGTGAGGAGGGAGAGAGGAAGGAGGGAGAGGGGGATGAGGGAGAGAGGCTAGAGTGGGAGCGGCAGTGGGAGGAGAAGGAGAGGAGGTGGAAGCGAGAGGAGGAGGAGGAGGCGGCTGAGAGGCAGCAGCTGCAGAAGAAGGTACATGGTGAAGCAGGCTTTAGGAATGGCAGTCCAGTTAGGCCCTTAGGAAGACTACAGCCCCTACAGCAGCCGCACGGCCTTAGGCATTCCCAACCATCCCCATCAATCCCTACGCAGGAGCCCAGTGGGGTTGCAAGCACCAAACACCCTTCCTATCCACACTGCCTCTGTTTTTTTTCAGAATTCTAAAAAAACATGTTTTCCACACTGCCCAACAAACCCCCCTCAAAACTCTCCACAAGGCCCTCACCCATGTCAGGACCTTGACAGAGAGAGGGCACTGGCCCAAGCCGTGCCTGTGTCTATCCTACCCCTTCTCCCCCCCCCTCAACTCATCACATGCCCCGCTATCCCCACTCCCCATGCCCGCACCAGTGTCGGGACCCGGACAGAGAGGCAGAGAAGGCATTGGTTCGAGCGGTGCCAGTGGGGTGGTGATCCGTGCATCATCATGCCCCTCTCTGCTCCGCTGCCCGTCCCCTCCCTTTCAACCACCAGTGTCGGGACCTGGATAAAGAAGCAGAGAAGGCATAATCTAGAGATCTGCCGGTGGGGTGCGACCAGGAGGGCAGGCGGCACTGATTAAGCACCGCACTGCTCTCCTCCCTGTCCTCCCGCCCATTTGCCCCCACCAGTGTCGGGACCTTGACAGAGAAGCAGAGAAGGCATCGGCTCGAGCAGTGCCGGTGGGGTGCGACCGGGAGGGCAGGCAGTATTGGTGGTTTGGGCGGGAGGCAAGATTGTTTGTGCAGGTGGAGGGGGGGAGGCGATGGGGATACTACAGCAGTGTTGATGAGGTGAGAGATAGGGGGGTAAAGCACCGCTTAGCCTTGCACCGTTGCGCACAGTATTGCACAGTATTGCACAGTATTGCACAGTACAGCACAGCACCACACAGCACCACACAGCACCGCACAGCAAGTGGTGGCTTGAGGTGTGCCGGTGGGGTGGGACAGGGAGGGCAGGCAGTATTGGTGGTTTGGGCGGGAGGCGAGGGTGTTTGTGGAGGGGGACAAGGGGAGGCGATGGGGATACTGCAGCACTGTTGATGAGGTGAGAGGGGGCCTAAAAACCGCACAGCACCGAATAGCACCACATAGAACCGCACAGCACCGCATTGCACAGCACCACACTGCACAGCACCGCCTTGCACAGCAGGGAGGTGGGGAGACGATGGGGATACTACAGCACAGTTGACGAGGTGAGAGGGGTTACTAGAGCACCGCATGGCCTTGCACAGCACCGCGCAGCACCACATTTTGATATTCTTTGAGTCGAATTAGAAGTCATTTCCTCCCCTTACCTCACCGCCTCCCCCTTCCTTTCCCTTCCCTTTATCACAGTTTGACGCACTTCTCTGCTCTCCGGACCCTCGCTTTTCGTGTGAAAGGCTGCAATCCTAGCTGACCGCACAGCACCGCACATCACATCCCCTAACCTCCGCTCTCTCCCCTCCCCTTTCCTTCAACACAGTTTGATGCGCTGCTGTGCTCTCTGGACCCTCGCTTTCCGTGTGAACGGAACCTGCACGCCCACCTTACCACACAGCAGGACTGCATAAGGTAGGGCGTGATTATCACCTTCGGGGTGACTTTTGAGTCGCCTTGAATGTCACCTCGTTACAATGGCTCGCCCACCTCACTGCACAGCAGGACTGCATCAGGTAGGGAGTGGGCGTCAGCTTCAGGGTGAGTGTCGGGTATTGTTAGGTATAGTGGTGGGTAATCTGTTTAAGATCGGTTAGCATCAGCATTAGCTTTTCCATCAGATCTACTCTTCTCTCAGGGCCAGGGCTTTGGCTCGCCAGCTTGCAGCAGCTGCTTCTTCCCCCTGCCCACCTTTCACGTTCACTTTTCCCCACCCTTCCTCTCTCACGCTCCCCCACTCTTTCCCTCTCCCCTTCTTTCAGATCTGCTCTCCTCTCAGGGGTCAGGGCTCTGGCTCGCCAGCGTGAAGCTGCCGCCGTCTTCTCTTCCCCTCCCCCCCCCCCCCCCCCTCCCTCCCTTCCCTTCCTTTTTTAACGCTCTTTTCCTCCTCTCACCCCCTCCCCCGCCCCTCCCCCCACTCCCATCAGATCTGCCCTCCTCTCAGGAGCCAGGGCTCTGGCTCGCCAGCTTGCAGCAGCTGCTTCCTTCTCCTCCTCCCCGCCCCCCTCCGTTTCCACTGCTGGTGCTGCCGCCGCTGCAAATGGTTTTCCTGGGGGTGGTGCTGGTGATGGTGTTGGCGCTATTGGTGGTTCTGGTAATCTTAGACGGTCGACCCGCGTTCGTGCCATGTCATCACCTGGAGCTGGCTCCACATCAGTAGCACCATCATCCACGTCAGCAGGATTGGCCATGTCAGCAGGACCAGGGGAGAAGGAAGGAACTGGCCGAAACGGGTCTGTGGGTGGGGGCTCAATATCCCCTTTAAAAAAGGCTTCGAGATTGTCTATGCAGCAGCAGCAGACCCTGTTTCCTCCACAGCTACGTTATGTGAATACATTGGCATTGAATTAATGAAAAACCGCAACGCTCCCCTGTACCTAGTGCTATAATGTAACCAGATATACGGTATAAGGCGATCCTACGGCCAGCCAAATACAGTGGGTACGGTAAGTATTCATTAATCACTTGATACGCTCCCGGTATAGAGAAAAGTCTCGGTAGCTGAACCAAAAGTATAAAGACTTCTGACCGTTTCTAGTTCCACTTCAAGTGAGAGTAAGACATGAATCAGGTCATCTGGTAACGGAGCAACAATCTCAAGAAACCCCTCATCCCCACCCATAGTACTCTCCAGGGTAGATTGCCCTGGGAGTGCGTGGAAGATGGAAGTTTCCCCTTGGGGTGCCGGCAAGGGGAAGGAGTCGCCTTCAAGTGCAGACAAGAGGGAATCTTCTGCTCTGGGTGTGTGGACGAGGGGGGATTCACCTTGCAGCACGTGCAGGGGCAGCAGCAGGCGGGCGGCATGGAGGAAGAGGCGGGAGGCGGGCAAGCGGTGGTTGGTGCGGAAATGGGCGTTGGTGCGGCCCTTGCCGTGCACTGAATCACCTATAACCTGATGGGGGCATCATAGCACACAGGAAGGGGCAGAACAATGCGGGGGAGTGCAGGGAAGAGGCAGGAGCGGGACAGGTGGTGGTTGAGGCGGAAATGGGCGTTGGTGCGCCCCTTGCCGTGCACTGTATCTCCTATCACCTGAGATTGTGGGTGTGGATGGATGGTGAGGGCAAGAGCAAGAAAGCACACACGAGGGGGAGAGGCGGGGGTTCTGGCGGAAATGGGTGTTGGTGCGACCCTTGCCATGCACTGAGTCTCCTATGACCTGATGGGGAGTGAGTGTGGGAGGGTTGGGGAAGGCAAATCGCATCACAGAAAAGGTGAGGGCAAGCGGAAAGGTTGAGGCAGACATGGGCATTGATGTGGCCCTTGCCATGCACTCACATGGAAGGCGAGGTGGTTGAGGTGCCGTCGAATCTGGTGTCTGCGCCCTGTTGATATTCGCACAGACAGCAGCGAGCAGCGGTGCTGCGGAATTTCCAGGAGCCTTTTGAAGTCAGAGTAAGCTGGCTTGACGACGCCCTGGGGAAAGGGACAGCACGAATGAGAAACAGGGGGGAAAGGAGGGAGGCAGGAGGTGGGGTGGGGGATTGACGTTGGGGGTTTGAAGGTGGGTGAAGGGATGCAGCTGAATGGGAGTCCCTTTTGGGAATCCCCAAAAGTGACTATGATATGAAGGAGGGAGCTGGGAGGTGGGGGGTGGAGGACTAAAGAGGGTTTCGAAGCGTCCTAAAAGGGGTACAGTGCGAAGTCTTCCAACGGCTTATATGTGTGCGCGCATGCTTGCGTTCACTCTGCGCCCCACCCTCTCAGTTTTAATCTCTAGAACCATCTATACCTTGTCAGCTCTCAACGCTTTTTGACGCGCCTAACAAATCCTAAAAAAATCTCAAGAATCCTCTCAGTTCTAATCTCTTGAACCATCAATACCTTGTCAGCTCTCAATGCTTCAATCATTCATTGCAGCATATGTTGTCAAATCCGAACTCTTGGATTACCCATACCATCAGCGCTTCAACCATTCATTGCATTGCATTGCACTGCATTGCATTGCAGCACCCCACCTTGTCATCCTTCAACGGCTTGTCACATATGAAGGCACTCGGAGGCGAGCCTCGCACGAGGACCAGGTACCTGGGAGGGGATGGGGGGGGGGCACGGGGGATGGGAGGAGGGGGCACAAGGGGTGGGAGGAGGGGAGGAGGGGGATGAGGGGAGGGGGCACGGGGGATGCTCTGCTGTCCAGCCCAGCAGTTGGTGTTGCTGTGCTCTCAGAGCAATGCTGCAATGCATTCGCTGCTCTCTCCCCCTCTCCGCCTCTCTCTCGCCTTACCACCCACCACTCACTCCTTCACAGCAGCAGCGTGTGCCATGGCCGCTCGCACCCGCCTGCACGCCTCTGCTGTCCGCCCAAACACGAGCACCCCACTGGCCGGTCGGTCGATGCGATGCGCTGGGAAGAGAGGGCGGTCTGTGACGCGTGCAGGGGGGGAGAGGACGAGAAGGAGAAGAGAGGAAAGGGAGGGAAGGAAGGGAGAGATGAAGGGAGGGAAGGGAGTGGGGAAGGAAGCATAAATGATGCCTCTGCTGTCCGTCTAAACACGAGCATCCCACTGGCTGGTCGGTTAATTCTGTGTGCTGGGAAGAGAGGGCGTTTTGTGACACGTGCAGGGGGAGAGAGGAGCATGCGGGGAGCAGTGGAAGAGAAGGATGAGACAGAAGAGGGGGAAATGAGGGGATGAGAGTGCGGTTCAAGAGCACCGGTGCTGCCTCTGCTGTCCGCCCCAACACAAGCACTCCACCCCACTGGCCGGTCGGTCGATTCTATGCGCTGGGAAGAGAGGGTGGGCTGTGAGGGTGTTAAGGGTGGCATGCAGGGGGGCGGGGCATGCAGGGAGGGGGGCGGGGCATGCACGGGTGTCAAGGGGTGGGCAGGCAAGCGGGGTGAGCACGCAAGACTGCCACTCCTCAGTGCTTTGAGAAAACTCCCAGGAACCTAGCCTGATGCCCTCACTCCTCTCTCAACGACATATACCCACCCATCGCCCATCACCCACATACCCAGCCCCAGCTGCCGTTCCACCATATCCTTCACAAAGGCTCCCTGCGCTCGCTCCTCCCGCGTGGCTTCGCGAGACGAGTGCACCTGAAGGGGGGGGTAAGGAATGGGGGACGGATGAGAGAAATAACGGAGGGCATGGGGGAAAGCAGGGAGGGTATGCACCTGTGCTCATTTTTATGAGGGTATGCACCTGTGCTCATAACATTAATCTCCCAGAGAAAGGTTCAGTTGAGGCATGGAGCGTCAAGTACCATTCTGAACCGAACTGATGGTACCATTACCTGATGGTACCTGGTGATGCTCACCGTCAGCTCGACGGTTTGACTCAGCTCACCATGATTCCAGGCGGTTTGTTGACAGCGATCATGGCTTCATCTTCAAACACCACCTGGATGGCTGGACCTTCCGAACCACATCTGCCAGACGTATCCCCAGGTTCGGCAGGCAGGTGCGGTGAGGCATCCCGAGCCGAATTATTCGCAACACCGCGTGCCGAGGCGAGATCCTTCGTTTGACTGGTCACCGGGTTCGGAAGAGGCTTGGGTGTGGGGTTGGGGGGTTGGTGGCCTGTAGCTTCCGAGCCTGCACGGCAGTAGGTTCGGATCCGAACCGAATTAGGGCGATGCGCGTAGTAGGAGGAGGTCGCCCGACACGACGAGAACAGCAACGAGCCTACTCGCGCCGCTCTAATAACCGCCATTGGTTTACGTGCATTTCGAGGCAACCACGCCGAGCCGCGGCAGGGATCAAAAGCCGTACCGTCTGAAGCTGCCCATAGCCGTCTAAAGGCGTTTGAAGCGGTATAAAGCCGTCCGAAGGCGTCTACTCTGGTTCAAAATATCCGAGCATGGCGTGCACACGATCCGACTGGAAGAGGCGCGAGACGGAGAAGGAGCTGTGATAGGCCCGCCCCTAATTCCGCTGACATATGCGCTGCGTGGTAAGGAAGAAAAACCAAGGATAAATGTGCGGCTTGACATAACCAAGGGGAAAAGTGGCGGCTTGGTTTTGATGAATCAAGTGCGAAACGCGCAGATATCCCTGCTTCAAAACGCGATCCTAGGGCGTTGCACGAACGCTTTTGCATTCAAATCGTGTCGAAATTAGGTATTTCTCGGATCTCGTTACCAGGTCGCGTGAGTTCGTAGGCTCGGCTCAACCTCGGGGATGATGAAATTTCTGGGCAGGCAATTTGTTGAAATCTGTGAACATGGAAATAAGGGTAACCAGGCTTTGATTACTTCGTGCTACTTCGCAATTCCTTGACGCAACCAGCATTTCGCTTTTTGATTGACGAAACCAGACACAGGTGCAGCAGTCCTGCTTGCTTCATTCGAACTACTCAGCTGACCCCGTACCGAGAAATATCGAAAATACGCCCTGAATCTGTGTGCATTTTATTACCTAATTGGATTTCTGCCATTTTTTCCTTCACTGCCGAAGCGAGGGGCCGATTCCTTCGCGTTTCCTTTTGTTTCTGGGACGGTTACTGCCGACGCGAGCCGCGTGTATCCGGCTCCATTGCCACTCCCGACTCGTAGCGCCGTTTTATTCTGCACTCCTTCCCCGACAGTAGCTTCCTCGCTGCTCCCGTTATCGTCCCGGCTACCCGCTCTAGCAAGGACAAACCTCTTGATACTCACCGGCAAAAACAGTTATAGGGGTATATCCACAGTCACCCACAGATCGATTTTCCCTAACAATAACACCGTTACCCGTCGCATAACGGCATCCATGGCTTCTGCTGCGCACACTGCAACCACTACAGAAGGGAATTCCGAGGGTAATTTACCCGCGCGGGACGGACCCGTTCAAATCTCCGGGCTGAAGGAGCTCGTTGAAACGGGGAAGTACGAGGTAGGAACGCTTGAAACTTAGGTGAAACTCTCCCTTCTGAAGGCTTGAATTCATAGCCAGTTTGGGGTGCTTTATGATAGCTTTCAAGACCACACGTCTCCCTGTCCTGCCTTCCGCTGTTCTCCCTTCTTCCCATCCCCCCCTTTCCCCCGCCTCCTCCCCGCCGCTTTCCCCCGCCATCCCTGCCACCTTCCTTTCCCCAGGCGTGGATTCTGGACCAGTTTGGGGTGCTGCACGACGGCAAGAAGGCGTATCCCCAGGCTATTGAAGCGTGTGAGTGGATCTCGCAACTCATGACCCATTCCCTTTGCTGTCAGCTACCAGGTAACAGCTATCCTGTAACGTATATTGGGTGGTTCTTCCCTCATTGCATGGCCCTGGTAAGTTTTTTTCCTCTTGAATTTCCATAATTTTTTTACAATTTTCAAATGCACGCCCACCGCTTTCTCTCCCTCAAATGCCACTCCCTCCAAACCCGCTTCTTCTTTTTCCAGTTTCGAGATTTCTTATAAATTCTACCAGACTGCCCTTCTCTATCTAGCTACACACACTCACCTATTCATCCGAGCTATCCCTGTCTTTATCCTTATCCAACCCGGCCAATCACAGTGCGCCAGCTGGCGGCATCTGGCGCCAAGGTGGTCCTTCTCAGCAACTCGTCTCGCAGGGTGGAGGTGGCTTCCAAGAAGCTTCCCTCTCTGGGTTTCGACTCGTCGCTCTTCTGTGGGATCGTGACGAGTGGGGAGATCACACACCGACACTTGATGGAGTGAGTGAGTGAGGGAGATCACACACCGACACTTGATGGAGTGAGTGAGTGAGGGAGATCACACACCGACACTTGATGGAGTGAGTGAGTGAGGGAGATCACACACCGACACTTGATGGAGTGAGTGAGTGAGGGAGATCACACACCGACACTTGATGGAGTGAGTGAGTGAGGGAGATCACACACCGACACTTGATGGAGTGAGTGAGTGAGGGAGATCACACACCGACACTTGATGGAGTGAGTGAGTGTTCGAGTGAGTGGGGGAGAGTAACTGAGATTTTGCGTAGTGAGTAGGGAGATCACACACCGACACTTGATGGAGTGAGTGAGTGAGGGAGATCACACACGGGAATGAGGGAGTGAGTGGGTGGCCCGGTTACACCCCCCCACACTAAGATGGCGGAAAAAATCCACGAAAAGCTTGACAAAAAGACAGAACCGTGTTCAAACTGTTTCACCTGTTGAAACTAGTGGAAGGAGGAACAGATGGACTCGCTGGTTTGGGACCTTGTCTGATGCGTCTCTGCATGGAGGTGCATTTTCCACCTCTTCCCTTTCCTAAACCATATCTCCTCTCCCTTCTCCTCTCCTCCCCGCCCTACAGTCCCTCCGTTGACCCCTTTTTCAGGACTCTCGGATCCAAGTGCTTGCACTTCTCCAGGGCTGCTACGGAAACTGCATTTCCCCTCACCCCTCTCCTCCCTCTTTGTCAACCTCTCTCCTCCCTCTCTCCCCCTCCCTCCCACCCTGCAGTCGCTCCCTCGACCCGTTTTTCCAGACGCTTGGATCAAAGTGCCTGCACTTCACCTGGGCTGCTAGGGGTGCTGTTTCCTTGGAGGTAGGGAGGAAGCGAAGGACCACACACTAGCACAGAATGAGTCATAGCTTCAGGGGAGGCAGGGCTGGCAGGGCTGACTGGGTTACCCTTGGGCTTACACAAGTGGGGGGTGTGTGGTCTCGCAGGGCTCCCTGTCTTCTCTTGTGGGTGGTTACGCTTGATTTACGGATTTTCCCACTCACTCACACTCTCTCACTCACTCACACTCTCTCACTCGCTCACACTCTCTCACTCACTCACTCTCTCAAACGGTCCTTGTCATTATTCATTATAAGGTGTACAATCAAGGACAGTTATTCCCTACTGTGATTGGTGCAAGACAACAGGAAAGCAAGTTCAGGGGGTATTAGGGCGGGGTATCCCACTCACTCACTCAGTCACTCACTCACTCACTCACTCACTCACTCACTCTCTCACGCACTCATTCCATCAGGTGCCATTGCATGATCGCTCTGCTCCCTCCTCCTCTCCTCCTGCAAGTGGTGGAGGCACCAGAATAAGCAGATGTGATTCTCACACCGCCAACAGAGGCAGTGGGGGGGGGGGGGGGTTCATTCACGCACTCCACACTACCCGCCTTCATCTCCCCTCCCCGTCTCCCCCTTACCCCATCCCCCACCAACCACCACAGGGGCTGGGTCTGCAGGTGGTTGAAACACCAGAGGAAGCGGATTTTATCCTTGCGCACGGCACAGAGGCAGTGGGGGTCGCAGAAGCAGACAAACCCGCCCGCCCGGCCTCGCTGGATGAGCTGGCGGGGCTGATGAGGCGGGCGGCGGAGGAGGGGCGGCGGAGAGGCAGGATGATCCCGATGGTCGTGGCTAACCCTGATATAGTGACCGTGGAGGCCCGGGCTTTAAGAGTCATGCCTGGGACTCTGGCTCGAGAGTACGAGGCTATGGGAGGTGTGGTCAAGTGCATGGGAAAACCAGACCCAGTAAGTGCTTTTTTCGAAACAACCCTGATATAGTCACCGTGGAGGCCCGGGCTTTAAGGGTCATGCCTGGGACTCTGGCTCGGGAATACGAGCAGATGGGGGGTGTGGAAAAGTGCATGGGGAAACCAGACCCTGTGAGTGGTTTCGTTTTGTGCAAGCCTGTTAATCGCCGTGGAGGCTATGGCATGGAGGGTCAAAACAAAGGTAGGGGGAAAGGGTAAGTGTATGGGAAGGCCTGACGAGGAGCGTGATTTTCCTTATTTTCCGCTCTTGGTTCCAATGTTCCCTTTTATTTGATAAAGCTTTTGTTCCATTGGCTGAAGCTTCCTGAAATTCATCCGGTACTCAACTCTCCAATACTTTCTCCCTCTCCTACTTTGCTCCCTCATCCCTCCCAGATTTCTTTTCGGGCAGCCCAGCAGCTGACCGGGATCCCTCTCGACCGCACAATCATGGTCGGCGATTCACTGCACCACGACATTCTAGGGGCGGCATCTTTCGGCATTGATAGCGTGTTTGTGGCAGGGGGGATACATGCGGATCAACTAGGGGCGCCACCACCAGTAGCAGCAGCAGCACCAGGGGAGGAGGAAGGGGGAGAGAGGAGGGAAATGGGAGAGGGAAATGTGCAGAGTAGAGTAGAGGGAGAGGCAGGGGGAGGAGTGGATGTGGGGAAGTTGAGAGAGCTGCTGGAAGACACGGGTGCTCAGCCTTCGTATGTGCTGCCTTATTTCCAGTGGTAGCTAGCTAGGGTACCAGTCACATGTATGGTTGATTGGCAACTGGCATATGTTAGGCACTAGATGGACCTGTGGCACTATAGATGGAGAGGCGTCCTGGTGTATCCTGTGGAGAAACATATAAATGAACACCTGAAGAAATTCGAGAAGAATGAGCCAAACAGGCTACAAAGCAAATTCTGAGCTGTAAAGAACAAAAAAAGAAATGGACGGCTAAGAATTTTACATCACTCATGGATTTGAAACACTCACTGTCGAATTCAAGCATTTTCTCAGCTGCTCTTGGCTGATCCTAGGAGACGACTTCAAGCAAAGAAAGCTGAGCTTCTTGAGACTCTTCAACCCACTGATGCCATGCGTCGTGAACCCCGAACAATCATCTAGAGTTAATTTCTTCAATGCAGTAAACCGCCCTACATACCCTAATGCATAGTCCGTTAATCTGAAGCAACCCCGCAGGTGTAGCTCCTGTAACGACCGCGCCAGGTATTGATCGCTGTAGTAATACTCCTGTCCTGGAGGCTTATAACGAGACAGCTTCTCTATGCCTTTATCGGAGATAGCATGGCATGCGTCCGCCTCGAGCAGCACCAATCGCAAGCCAGCAATTAGTGCAAAGCCATCATCTGTAACAGCTTGGCATCCCTTTAGGTGTAGACGTTTGAGTGTAGTTATGTGCATGAGGAGCGAGAGGCCCTTGTGTGTGACCTTCACACAGGCAGAGTTAGTAGATGAGAGGGAGGAGGCAGATGCCAGGAGAGACCTGGCAGACGGATTGGAGGAGGCAGAAGATTGCTTCAGATACATAGCTTGATAGCTGGCAAAGGGGGGCTGAGATGAGGATGCGCCAGCTGTAGCAGTAGCCGCTAGAGCTGTAGCATTTGTGGCAGCTGTAGAATCTGTAGCAGCTGTGATTGTAGCTGATGTAACAGCAGCAGCTGGTGTGGCTCTATCTGATGTGACTGTATCGCAGCCCCAAAGCCAGAGCTCCTTGAGAGACCGCAGGTGAGACAGGTGCAGCAGCGAGGCGCTCATGTCGTGACAAACGGTGCAACCCACGCAGCCGCCCACGGACAGAATCTCCAAAGATTTCATTTTCCCCAGGTGATGCAGGCCGATACTGCTGATGCTGCATCCCTGTAACCACAGCTCTTGTAGGGTAGTTACTGTAGAAAGTTGACCTAAACTCTCCTCTCGTATATGCGTGTGAGATATGAACAGTGACTTGAGCGAGCGGCACTTGGAAAAATGGCTGATAACAGGACTGGAGAGGCTTGTACAGAGGATAAGGTTGAGTCGCTGCAGCGAATGGAACGACGACAGGTGGCAAAGGGAGTCATCTGTGACCCCTGTGCATCCTGCCATGTGGAGCTCTTTCAAGTTCCCGGTCAGGCTGTCAAACTGAAGCACGCCTGCCCCGGGCAGAAGAAATTTTCCTGTGATGGCTTTGCAAGCTGACTTGGCACCCTCTTGCCCGAAAATGAGTTTGGAGATGGTGGGGACGATGGAAGGGTGAAGAATGGAGAGAGCGCGGATGAAGAGGGATATATCCCGGTCTGAAACGGTGGGGTAGGGTGTGAAGTCGAGGCAGGCTTTTTGCAGGGCGATGGGGAAGGACTGAAGCATCAGATGGGCTGTTGCCTGTTGGTAGAGGGAGTGTGGGCAGAGGGAGTGTGGTAAAAGGGGGAAAGGGGGAAGGGGGAGGGGATGGGGGGGTTTGGTGGGAGGGAGGTGGTGAGAGGGAGATGGTGGATGGAGGTGGTGGGAGGAAGGAGGTTGAGGGTGAGAGGTGGTGGGTAGGAGATGGTGACAAGCAGACTAATATGGAGAAGACGTGAACCGAGACAGTAGGAACAGCACGTGGAGGTCAACCACATGAGGTGTCTGTGAGAAGAGGAACGAGTGCAGTGGTTGAGAGCACATAAGACTACAGAAACTAGGCTCGGAAGATCAGGGAATGGGTGGAGGAAGCAGAGTGGGTAAGCGGGATGGGTAGGGAATGAGAAGGGTTTGTTTCTGAGGCGCCTCAAGAAAAGAGTAGGGTTTGATGGATTAGGGAATGGGTGGGGAAAGCGGAGTGGGCATGAACGACAATTACCTTCTCGTTCTCGTCTACCCGGCTTCTCTGCGTGTTCACTTCGGCTGCTAGCTTCAGACTGCCGTCACTCACACTCCCCAGCTCCTCTTTCAATTGACCCACTTCTGCTGCTGCAATCTGCTCTTGCTGCTGCCCTTGCTGCTGTTCATGCAACAGCTCGTGCCTCTGGCTGCTGCTATGAGTATCTCTATCTTCCATTCCTGTCATGTCTTCCACTTGCTTCTGCTGCCTCTGCTGCTCCTGCATCCTCGTTACAACATCCTCCACTAACACTAACCGAACCTTGTTTCCAATACTACCCGCAACTGCCGCAGCCGCAGCCGCTGCAGCAGCAGCAATAACTGCTTCTCCCCCTCCTCCACCTCCTCCCCGTAAGTCCTCAGATCCTTCCTCAAACCATTTTGGTGGAAGGGCATTGCTCGCCTTGTTGCAAACGCACGTGATGCTCTGTGGGGGCACGAGGGAGGAACAGAAGAGAGCATGGATGAGACAGACAAGCCACTTCAGAAGTCGTTTTGAAAGGCATGGCTTGCCTTGCTTGTTGCACACGCACGTTATGCTCTGTGGAGCAAACAGGAAGGACAGAAGGGAGCATGAATGAGACTTATGAGCCACCTGAGAAGTCACCTGCAGAAGCATGGGCTCACCTTTTGCATCTCACGCAGCTGTCGCAACTGTTCGCCCGCCTTCGCCTGCTCAGGCGTATACTGAGTCAACTCAACTAAACTATTATCAAATCACCTGGAGCATGTCATGTAGATTATCAACTGTTCGCCTAGCTTCAGTTGACACGGCAACAGAAAGAAGGTGCCATTCTTTCTGAACCATCTCAAACGGTCATCCAAGCTCACCTTCAGAATGCCATGCAGCTGCTCGTCCACCTTCGCCTGCCCAGGTGCATATTGAGTCGACTCAAACTAAACTATCACGGGCTCACCTTCAGTATGCCATGCAGCTGCTGCAGCTGCTCGTCCACCTTTGCCTGCCACGGCAACAGAAAAGCACCCACAAATACACCATTCAAATATTTTCATTTCAACTTGAAGGATCCTTAAAACGAATAATGCATCCAATTAATCAGCTCACTCACCCTGGTGTAGGAGGGGGGGGTGGAGGCCTGCATGTGAACACTACCACTTGGATATAAGACAAGGGAGTAAGGACATAAAGCACATTCGGAGAGGAAGGAGGAGGAAGAAGGGGAGTAGGCACAAGCATGGCTCGCATAAATTGCTCACAACCATTGCTCACATGCACCACTCACAACCATAACTCACGCACCACTCACACAACCATAACTCACGCACCACTCACAACCATAACTCACAAGCACTTCGCCAACCGCCTTCTCCTGCTCCAAAATTGCACACTTCTCCGTATCTGAGAGCCAGGCTACTGTCTTCCCACCATCACAATCTCTTCTCCCGCTGCTCTGACCCTCCGCACCAACACTACAATCCCTTGCAACCTCGAGATTTATTCTCCCATTGCAAGCGAAGTTCGCCAAGCCATCTTGGCTCTGCGAAGTTACCAATTCCCCAGGTCCCTCTGGCCTTTCAGGTTTCTCAAGCTTTGAACAATCTTCTTCCGAGCTTCCGGAAGCTTTCAGAAAAGTGGCAGTTTGAAGGGCCTGCATGGCTTGCTGGTGAGAGAGCATCGCTTGATCCACGAGGCGACCGATGGCTCTCACGCGAACTCGAGCCTCGTGCAGTGAGTGCCTGAAGCGAAACGGCAACAATGGAGAGCAGGAGAAAAATACTACGAGTAGACGGTAAAAATAAGGATTTGGATTGAAAACAACGAGATAAGGATGATTTTGTAACGAGCTTTTCAGAGTCAGTCAAAGCGTAGGAATAATAACAAGAGGATCTGAGTCATACCGTGACGACATATTTGGCTGATTCGTGATATCCCGGGCGTTTCAACAGATGCTGACTTCTGAGGCGGCAAAAAAACTGGCTCATTCGCGGCAATATCCTGGGCGTCTCAACAGCAACCCTATCACTGGGTGTCTCAACAGACGCTGACTGGGTGTCTCAGCGTCACAGCAGCAACCCTATCACTGGGTGTCTCAACAGACGCTGACTGGGTGTCTCAGCGTCACAGCAGCAACCCTATCACTGGGTGTCTCAACAGACGCTGACTGGGTGTCTCAGCGTCACAGCAGCAACCCTATCACTGGATGTCTCAACAGATGCTAACTGCTATCCAGTTCTGTCACTGAGTAAGTATATGATGGGAATCTGTTACCGTACGACACAGCTGAATGGAAAACCGATAAAAGTTGGGAGCACTATTACACAAACGCTTCTTGCTGGCTCCCGTAAAGTTACTGCACGATGACATGTCTTAGCTAGACGAATCGCTGATAGGAGAATCCGCGTAACGCTGACTAACAGCCGTCAGATGCAAGGCAAACGCAGCCGTGACGAAACCTTCATAGTAGACTGAATAAACGGTTCAGTTAATCAGGAATTTATCGAGGTCAAGAAATCGCCCACAGCAAATGGACTCCTGTGTTCCTGCCTGGAGCAACAGCGGAGCGAGCGAGAAACGAGAAGCGCTGGGAATGACAGGCAGCATGCATGAATAGCCAGTGGAAGCAACAAGTGTGATACTCACCGCTGAGGGAAGGAGACCTTGGCGCTGAGGGGACAAGACTCGGTCCCAAGGGAGGAAGACTCGGTGACGAGGGAAGAAGACCGGCAGCGCAGCGCCTGCGGGAGGAAGACTCCACTGACAAAATGGTCGGACCGGAGTGGAAATGCTCTTTTGGTCAAAATGAATGAGTTGAAATGGAAATCGGGATGGTTCATGGGACAATTTCTAGGGAGTGCAAAGAGGCGGCGGACTTGCAGAAATGAGTTGACCTTCACGTTGTTCGCGCTTGCGGCAGCTCTGCTACTCTCGATAAGGCTTACATTTTCTCCTATACAACAAGCATTTACAGAAAATGGATATCATTGTGTCATGAAACGACTTACCGCTAATAGCGAGATTCCAAGTTCATGGCGCACCGAACGTGCTGCCGAGCCATCTTCTCTTGGAATAACGCTGGTACACCAGCTCAGGTTTGGGGAGTTCCACCACAGCTAAGTCAAAGAGGTCCACACTTCACTTGGGGTTTTCAGATTTGAAGGGACAACTACTGTCTATCCTGCGCTTTAGGAGGACCTTTACTTCTATTTGGGGACACTTTCCGAGCTTTTGCCCCTCAGGCAGGAAAGCTGTTGCGATAACTCTCGAATTCGCTCCACATTCACCCACGTGTCACAAATTTGGGAGAATGTGAAAGGGCAGGGCAGAAAAACTAAAACCCCTATTTTAGTGAGGGATAAACCCAGCACACGGAACCCTAAAAAATGTTTAGGGTTGATCCCTCCCCGAATCGCCTCCCTTTCCGATTGGATTTTATTTGTTTTTGTCAGGTGGACTGATGTATTCTATGCAATGCGTTGTGAATTTGTGCCACGTGGGTGAATGTGGAGCGAATTCCTGAGTTGTCGCAATAACTTTCCTGCCTGAGGGGCGGAGGACGAGAAAGTGTCCCCAAATAGCAGTAAAGTTTCCCAAAAAGCGCAGAGACGACAGTATTTGTCCCTCCTCATCTGAAAACCCTTCCAAACCCCTTCATTTGTGCTCTCGAATCCGCTGAAGCACGTTGACGTCCATGGCACTTCACATCACCACCACATGAGAGTCGCTAGGTGGGTGCAGGTTCGGTTAGGGTCTGACAGGGAAGTGTCGATTCGAGGTCTGCGAGGGCACGGACCGAAAGTTACGACATGGTTCGGAGCCGGTAGGCCCAGCGAGGCGTTGTTGGTTCCCTTTCCAGCCTCGTTCATGAATTTGTTTACTACTCCATGCTATCTCGCATCGCATGTCCAAGAAGGTAGAGTCGAGCCGCCTGTTGCATTTCAGAGTCAGGCAGGAGTCACATCGTTTCCCTAGTACGTACAGTATTTTGACACGATATACCATTGTTTGGTTGCCCGAATTTAGGTTAGACTTGACACCTTTTAATAGAGAACCCAGTCCCGCCAGGGAGTACATTCTCTTTGCTGGAAACGGATGGCATGCTTAAAAGTCCAAGCGCAAACGGTGTCTCACGTACTAAAGGATGTTGTGCAACCACAAACGGTGTCCAAACTTCGCAAGGTGTTGTTCCTACTTCAGAGTGCATTTTAATTTTGAGTGCTTGTGAGTTTTGACGTGGCTGAAATGTAGCCGCGAATGTTGTTGCACTTCCTTCCCCCCAACAGCATTCTCTTTCTTTCCTGAATTGTTGAGGGAGGAGTGCTGAGCGGAAAATGGCAGGCAGTTCTCTCCCAACTTGCCCACAGACCTCAGTTCTCCACCACTCACTGAATATCGCACAGAATTAGACCACGTGAGGAAACCACATATGTGTAGACACCTCCGATTCGTCGGTGATGCACGTGTATTCCGTCCGTACGATCCAGCTGGCATGCGGCGTGGTGTGTGCCGAACGAGGCCTATTTCTCGTCCCAACGCCCACCTTCCGGAATCTCTAGAAACCAGCTTGTCGTCAGGAGTTCCCCAAGACGCCTTTACATCCTGTTCCTCAACCGTCCTTCGGCATTCACTGTGCTGTTCTGTGCGTCGTTTTGTACGACGACCGCCGAAGGAGGCCCCAACAAGCATACCCACACTCTGTACAGTATCCCACATGACGTTCGGGACAACGGCGTCGGAGAAAGTACTCGGTGAACCTCGAGCTTTGCGAAAGAGCAGCAGCTGCTTGGCGACTCGACAATCACACCGGGCCGTTCAACCGTCGCCCTACTGTACCAAGAGTATTTGGTAGAGAGAGATTACAGTGCCTTTGGAACACCTAGGCAGAGCTTCAGCTCATGTAAATATAGATAGGTAGACGCGACGGTTTTTTAAGACTATTTTCTATCGACAGGCATGGCGACGACTCAGAGCGCCCCTACCAGCAGCACCAGCAGCAGTATTAGTACGAGTCCTAGCGTGATAAGTAGGAGCCCCAGCGTTACATCGATTCCTCGTGTGATACGGCCGTTTCGCGGCGCGGGTCATCGAACCGCGAACACCCTCCTCCCCCTTTCGCTAACATTCGTGTTACTTTTCGCCGTCGCCACCGGCGACCCCGTCAATCGCGGCGGCCCTCGCGCCGGCGATTTCGGCGTGCGAAGGACGGCGAGAACGTGGCGAGTGCCGCAGCAATTTCTCGAGCTGCGAAACATTACGCAAGCCGTTACGGTGTTACGCGAACAGTACACGGCGGCGGCGTCTCGCGAAGGCGACAAGGCGGGAGGAGCAGGGGGAAGCGGAGAGGGCGGAGGAGAAACTGCTGCTCTTAAAGCGAACGGCGCGAGCGAAAGTAGCAATAGGGTTGGGGTTACCGCTTTCGCGAATGTCGTACCGAAGGACGAAACGGACCCGAATGCCCCATATACAGTGTTCGAAGTGGCGAGACCGATTGTGCGGCCGCAAGGCGCCGTGGAGTGTACAGTAACACTGTTCACGGACGAACCTTTCGCATCTACGGTTGGTAACCCGCCGACGCAAACTTCGTACACCCCCGACCCAAACTGTGCCTCGGTGAGTAGGACTGTACGCGTTATAAAGAGGAAGAAGAGAGCGATAGAACTCGGTAGCTGGGACGAGATTCGGAAGTTGTGACGAGGAAGGGGGAAAGGAAAATAGGGGGAAGATAAAGGAAAGGGGGGAGGGGGGGGGGGGCGGGGTTTGAGGGGGGGAGAGGGGGGAAAGGAGGGGGGTAGTGTGGGCGGCGTGCAGGGGAGGAAGGTTGAATTGCGCGAAAACTGTTTGGATAAGGGGAAGGTTCCTCAGGTACTGTACCTTTCCCAGGTGAGGAAAGATCATCGCGAAAATTCTGAACGATGGTGCATGATCATGGGATGATCATGGGATGATCATGGGATGATCATGGGATGATCATGGGATGATCATGGGATGCGTGGTAAGGAGCAAGGATCCCATGATCATCAGCAAGGACGAATTTTATAATTCTGAACGCTGGCGCATGGCTTGGATATCCGACGCGAGGCTGGCGGGTGTAAGGCTTGGATGTTGGCCAACTGACGCTCTTCATCTGTTTTAATCGCCGTGCCACGTGTCGCAGGCGGATTGGTCGCTGGCTGTGCTGTCGGTGGGCGTGAAGGTGAAAGGCGTGCAGTTCGATCGGCGCATGGTCATTTTCTTCGGCGGTTTCGAGGTTTCCAGATCAATGTGAGTGTTCTTTGATCTATATAATATCCATGTCAATGTAGCTGAGTGTGAATACATCCATGTGAGAGTATGCTGTAGGCACCTCAAAAAACGGGTAACCGATGACCGTTGCGAGTCAGCTCTTAGTGCGTCTGAATCTCTAGTTTCCCTCCCCACCTCCACCAACCTTCTCCCCATCCCCCCTTATCCTCTCCCATCTCAACCCTCCATCCTCTCCCATAGCCAACCCATCTGACCGTTTATCCGCCCTATTGTGTGACTCATTAACAGCACTGCAGAGCCACTGGGAACGGAGATTCACTACTCGTTTGAGCGAGACGTCACCAACTATGCACCCATGCTTAAAACCGTGAGTTTATAACAACCATGTGTTGTGAGTGATATTTTTGATTCCTCATCTCATCCTCCTCTTCTCCCCATCTCAATTCTTTCCTCTCCTCGCCTCCCCTCCTCCTCCTCTCCTCTCTTCCTAGTCTAGTATCCTCCTCTCTTTCTTCTCTCCTCCCTTTTCCCCCCCTCCTCTTCCTCACCTCCATCCTCCCCCTCTCCCATTTCTCCCCCACCTTTACTCCTATCTCCTCTCTCCATTTGCTCCTGTCCAACCTCTCCCACGCCATGTTATCCCATCCCATGCCATGTTACCCCATCCCATGCCATGTTATCCCATCCCATGCCATGTTACCCCATCCCATGCCATGTTATCCCATCCCATGCCATGTTACCCCATCCCATGCCATGTTATCCCAGGCCTGTCGATTCACGGGCATTTGCCCGTTTTCCCTGAGAATTCCGGGCTGGTTTCAGCTCAGCTCAGGGATTTTCAGGGCTGTTTTTTTCCTGGCCCGTAATCCTCACGGACAGGTTTTGGGCCTCCCCGGAATTCCCGTACTCCTCCCCTGACCCTCCCCCTATTCATCCATCTTAGACCGCGAACTTGCCCCCCTCCCCTCCCTTTCCAACAAACACCAGCCCCCTCCCCGCTCCGCTAGAGTGCTCTGCTCACTAGTGGATCGAATTACTTAGTTTTTTAACGCATGTATGCTGTAGAAAGGCCTGAATTTCAGGGCTGGATTCGTCCGCTTCCCGGACATCTCAGGGTTGTTTTCGGGCCAGCTCAGCTTCGTACGGGTTGGACCCAGACCAAGCGACAGCCCTATCCCATCCCACGCCATGTTACCCCATCCCATGCCATGTTATCCCATCCCACGCCATGTTACCCTAAACCCCATGATGCCACATTAACCGCCTCCATGAGAGTCCCTCCGCCTCCATTTCCCCCTACCCTTCTTTCCCCCTCTCCCCATCCTTCCCCCCCTCCACCCCTGCAGGCGTCCACTGTCTACGTGATTCTAGAGAATGTCGTCGACGGTGAATACACAGGAATTTTCAACGTCACCATTTCCCTCACAACCTACAAAGGAACACCCCCCACCACCCCCCCTTCCCTCCTCCTCCCCTTCTCCACCACCTCCTCTTCCTCCTCCTCTTCCTCCCCTTACATCCTCTCCGGAGCCTCCGCCACTACTCGTAGTGCTATACAAACACTCTCCGGCCTTCCAACGAATGTGATTAAAGCGAAGGTGGAGCTTACCATATCAATGCACGCGGACGACGAGTTTTATTACCTTTATTTCCCAAATAAGTTCTATAACAGCCTCCCTAGTTCCTTAAAGCCTAAATTCAAACCCGAAGGCGGTCCGTTTCGCGAGCTGAATCTTTTCATCGACGATCGATTTGCCGGGGCAATTTACCCTTTCGCTCCGCTTTACACCGGCGCGTTCAACCCGCTGCTGTGGTCGCCTGCAGTGGGAATAGGCAACTTCGGCTTCCCAACAGTTACTCTCGACGTCACCCCATTCGCAGGGGTTTTATCCGACGGGCAGCCACACGAAATTAGGGTTTCGGTGGTGAATGCAAAGCCTGGAGCTGCATGGTACCTGACCGGAATCGTGCACATTTGGGCAGATCCCTTAGTGACATCTTCTGCTGGGCCGCCACCCACCATCAAGGTGAGCAATGGTATGGCTCAGAATCCTTTCAGGGATTGATTCAAAGCCCAGAGCTGCATGGTACCTGACTGGGATCGTGCACATTTGGGTGGATGCCGGAGTGACGAATACAGCTGGGGCGCCACCCACCATCAAGGTGAGCTTTGGGGTGGCTGAGAATTCAATCAGGGACTCGTTCAAAGCCCGGAGCTGCATGGTACCTGACTGACTGGTATTGTGCAGTGCACGCGTGGGTGGACTCTGGTCCGGAGTGGCTAATACAGCTGCCCCCCACCCACCATCAAGGTGAGCTATCGTGCGGCTCCGACCTCACTCGGGAATGTGGAGCAGGGGTTGCGTGTGTCAGTCGGGACTGGAATGGTGCACGTGTGGGTGGGCTGATGAAGTGTGCATGATGGGAACTTTTGAGACCATAAAGAATGGTGCACGGGTGGGTGGGCTGATTCGATGTGCATGATGGGAAAACATGCCACGTGTGTTCTTGTCTACTTTAGAGACGTCTGAATTTGTTTTCTGCTCTTCTCTCTACCCTTCTTTCTCCTCAGGTGGCGCCCAGCAGGAGGAAAGAGAGGGTGAAGCTGTTTGAGAGCTTGATGGTGCGAGCGCTGCGGATGGTCGGAGAGAATCCCACATATAGTTGTTTGAGCATTTCTGACGTCCGTGTCTGCTCTTCCCTCTGCTCTTCTCTCTGCTCTTCCCTCTCCCTCACAGGTGGCTCCCAGCAAGAGGAAGGAGAAGGTGAAGCTGTTTGAAAACCCGATGGTGAAAGCGCTGCGGCTGATGGGAGTGCGGCTGAGCATCGACGGCAAGTACAGCACGGTTGCTGCCCGTGACTACTCCATCTCAGGTACGGTGTTGTTACATGGTAACCAGGTGCTATGCAATGATGTGATTCTGCACAGCACAAATTGAGGGAGTGAGAGGGAGAAGGAGAAGCTGTTTGAGAGCCCTGTGGTGTGAGCCTTGTGCATGATGGGAGTGCGCCTTGTGCATGATGGGAGTGAGCCTTGTGCATGATGGGAGTGAGCCTTGTGCATGATGGGAGTGCGGGTGAGCATGAATGGCAAGTACAGCAGTGGTGCTGCGCGTGAATACTCCATGTCAGGTGGGTTGAAGTGCCTATTGAGTTGTGTCAAACCACACTGAGGTGGGGCCAGCAACCACGTGGTGCAGGGTGGGGGCAGCAACCACACAGGCATCAAGATGCGCTTCTGTTTCTGTGCACTTTCACACCCCGGCCCCTGTTTCAACCAAACCAGGCACGGTAACCACAGCGGATGGCCCAGTTACCACTCTGGTCACATCGTCCCTGTCAGTGGATGCAGCAGCAATGGTGCAGCAAAGGGGGGCAGCAACCACCAGGTGGAACAACGTGGGCATCGAAACAACCGTCTGTTTCTGTGCACGCTTTCACACCCCACCCCCTGTGTCAACCAAACCAGGCACGGTAACCACAGCAGACGGCCCGGTTACCACTCTGGTCACATCCTCCCTGTCAGTGGATGCAGCAGCAATGGTGCAGCAGGGGGGAGCGGCTCTTACCTGGTGGAATAGCGTGGGCGTTAGGACGACTGTGACCGCCACACATGCAACGACCAAGGCTGTGCTGTCCACCCACACTGACACCTTCTCCTTCCCGCTCCGCATCAAGCAGACTTCTCTTGACTGTGAGTTGGGGGGGTGTTCTCAAATGGGGCCATCACAATCACAACTGGTGGTGGAGCAAGGGGGCAATGGGGGGGAAGGGGGCAATGGGGGGGAAGGGGGCAATGGGGGGGAAGGGGGGGGGAAGAGTCACCTGGTGGTGGCGGGGCAGGGAGGAATGGGGTGATCACCTGGTGGAGCAACGCGGGGCGTAAAGATGACTGTGGCCGCCACACATGGAACGACCAAGGCTGTGCTGCCCTCCTAGACTGACTCGTTCTCGTTCCTGCTCCGCATCAAGCAGAAGTCTCTAGACTGTGAGTCACGGGGGGTTGTCTCCAAGTGTGCTGGGGAGACAAGGGCTGTGCTGTGCTGTCGAACCAGACTGACTCGTTCTCGTTCCCGCTCCGGGTCAAGCAGATGTCTCTTGACTGTGAGTCATGGCGTTTTTTTCTGCCCGCTCTTTTCCAATCATTGTGCCCTTCGTCTGCTGCTCCACGTGTGATGGCTCCTCGCTGTAATGCATGGATGCAGAAAATGTGGTGCTAGAATCCTGAGAAAGGATGAACTCATATATTGTGCCCCTCCGGATTGCAATAGCCCCGCGTTGCAATATTGGCTAGCTGCTCCGTATGTGGTAGCTCCGCATTGAAATGACCCCTTATGCTGATCGCTCTTCTCATTCTGATAGCTCCTCAAAGTGTTGGGCTAGCAATGGATGGAGTTATATTTTGTGCATAATTTGTTACATTGTTACACAATCACCCTCATCCCGTTATGCAGCATATGGATCCGGCAAGTTTGACATCGACAGCGGATACAACCACAAGACCACAAAATCTTCATCTTCATCATCATCCTCGTCAGCATCATCATCATCAGTATCAGCATCGGAATCACCGACATCTTCTATACCATCATCCACCTCCTCGCTAACAGCAACCAGCTTGCAAAACTTGCGGAAAGATTCGTTCAGCGTACAGGTGGACTCAAAAGGTGTTGTCATTGGTTCGTCCACTTCTGGTAACCAGAAGTTTGTGTATAGGTGTAGCCCAGGCAGTAGCGGGTGCTACTCGCGGCAGATTAAGACGAGGCCAATTGAGGTGCTTTACAACAAAGAATTGGCTAGTTGCTGACGTAAATCAATATTATACTTAGGGCTGTATGTGTGTATGAAGAGCTTAGTGTATAAGGATGTGTGCGTTCCTTACTGTTACGAGTGCAATTTGTTGGAAACAAGTAATTTGAACGCTTCTTGTCAGAATAAGCAGTAGAAAGTTTAGAACAAGAAAGAGGGTTTGCACTAGCAGCAGTTGGCATACATATAGGAAACCCTAATTGGGTTGTACTCGCTATAGAGTACCCCACTGCAGGCTAGACAATAATAACATTCTGACACACCCCCATAGCCAAAGTGGGGTGTAATCAGCACAATGAGCAAGCATAGCAGTAGTTCACAATTATAAGCAAAGCTAGTGGTAGTCACAGCGGGCAAGTGAGGAGGAGGAGGGACTGTGAGAGGAGAGAAGATGGGAGACGACGGCTGAAGCTGCAGACACACGGGCAACAGGAGCGGCTGGCACAGTGGCTACCGGGACAGCGCCCCGGACTACTGGAGTAACTGGCTCACGGGCTACGAGGAGCTACAGGAGCAACGGACCCACGGGCGACAGGCGCAGCAGACTCTCTGGGCTACCAGGACAGCGCCCCGGACTTCAGGTGCTGCGGACGACAAGACGGCTACCTCCACACAACCTCCTCCAACTGACCCACACCCTTGACACACACCCCCTGCTGAACCCTAGCTCCACTCCCACGGCACCCCCCTTAACCCCTAAACCCTCGGCTCCCACACACCCACCCCCCTCAGCGGCAGCTGCAGTAGTGGGAGACGGAGGAGGAGGAGGAGTAGGGGACGGATCACACACCCGCCACCCCCATACTTGCCACCCCCATACCCCCAAACGTAGGGCAAAAACGGGGGCAGCAGCTGGGGCGGTGTGTGAGCGGAAGCGGGGCGGCGCGCGGGCCCCCAGGGCGCCTCGACGAGTGACGGGAGGGGGGGACGCGCGGCCCCCCAGGGCGCCGCGACGGGTGACGGGAGGGGCGACGCGCGGCCCCCCAGGGCGCCTCGACGAGTGACGGGAGGGGGGAACGCGCGGCCCCCCAGGGCGCCGCGACGTGCGACGGGAGGGGCGACGCGCGGCCCCCCAGGGCGCCGCGACGGGCGACGGGAGGGGGGGGGTCGACGCGTTCGAGCCCAGGGCGCCGCGACGGGCGACGGGCAGGGCGACGCGCGGCCCCCCTGAGCGTCGCGACGGGCGACGGGATGGCGGGGGGGGGGGCGCGGGCGGATCCCCCACGGCAGAAAACCGCCGCGCGCCTCGGGGCGCACTGCGGGCAGAAACTCGCCGCGCGCCCCGAGCGCACGGCGGGATGAAAACCCTAAACCCGCGGCAGGAAGAAGACGGCGCGCGCCCGAGGCGCGCGAGAAGCAGAACAGCAGCGGAAGCAGTTAGGTGGTGGGCCCACCCACAGGATCGACCCAAGGGGGTCGACCTGCTCTGAAACCATGTCAGAATAAGCAGTAGAAAGTTTAGAACAAGAAAGAGGGTTTGCACTAGCAGCGGTTGGCATACATATAGGAAACCCTAATTGGGTTGTACTCGCTATAGAGTACCCCACTGCAGGCTAGACAATAATAACATTCTGACACTTCTGTTGTGTGTCGAAACACTAAGTCGTAAACGAGGCGAAGCACAGCGAAGCATCGGCGAGTCAACACTTGGAGGTTGAGAAGTGAAGAAACCGCTGGAGGTTACACGAAAGTCAAAGGTCAGCGACCTTTGACCTGACAAGTACAGCGCGACAGCAAGGACAAACAACTGACTCGCTATTGAGCAGTTGCCCGAGTCGTCACTGTATCGAACCGCAACAGCAAACAGTAAAACAGTTATTAGTTGCATCTTTTCATATTCCTTGTACTCTTATAAAACCTTGTATCCCCTTGTTTTAATCAATCTACTTTGCCCTCACATACCAGCGCAAGGTGGTTCAAAGACTTATCATTTACACGCTTCCGCATTTACAACAAGTCCCACCCAGAGTTTAGCCTTGCAAAGATCCTAAGGGCCTTTCAGCCCAACATGGTATCAGAGCAATCAAGGCAAACTCAACTATTTCAAAGACACCTACAACATCAGAAGGCATGGCAACACAGAAGGAGAGAAGCTCCTCTAACGGCTCTCCCGGTACTACTCCTACTCCACCTCCTGCCTCTGGCCTACAGACAGAGGAGGGCACAGCAACAAGACCAGCAGACGGGTCTACTGAAACTCCCGCAAATCAAGCCGCGGGCTTCGACCCAAGTATGATGGAGAAGTTCTTCTCCTTCATGTCCTTTTACGAACAACACCAGCAAGGGGCACCTGCGCAGTCAAACAACAGCAACAACAACAACGACGTGACACCGATGAGCCTTGACGGTTCATCCTACGCGCGAGGAAATCAGCAACAACAACCTACCTTCGCCCCGTACGAACCCCAGCGCGGTTCCGTCAGCTTCATGCCGCACCAGCAGCCTTCACCTGAGCAAGAGAAGACATTGGATGCACTTCAAGTTCAGTCACAATTCGCGCACGTCTTAAAGTTGCAGACGTCAAGACCATTTGACGGAAATGACTTCTTTACCTGGTCCTTCGAATTCGAACTGATGATGGAAGGCGCGCAGATCCTTGGATTCTTCGACGGGTCCCTGCCATACCCAACACACTGGACGCAATATGACAAGCAACAATACACATATCAGTCCATGATGGCGTACACAATTCTACTGCGCAACATCACACCGAACCAGCAGCAGAACATCCGGTCTTATCGGGGATACGGCAACTCCGCCGAGCTTGCGTACAACCACTTGAAGAACCTGTATCAAGCAACAGACAGCGTCAACCAGAGTCGATTAATGGCACAGCTGACAACAGTAGAAATGAAGCCTGGCGAAAAGGGAATGGCGTATATCAGCCGCTGTCGCGAATTGCGCGACAAACTTCTTCGATGCGGAGGCTCAATATCTGAAGACGCCTTCGTGACAGTCATCATCGGCGGCCTCGGTCCTCAATGGCGCTCCACTCGAGCCATCCTCCGAGCCCACGGGAAAATCTCCGAAGCAGCACTCTGGCCCGAGATTCACGCTGAGCAGCAAGACATGGACCTGCAAGAGGAGCGGCACAAGAAGAAATCAGTACCCGAATTTGCATTCCACACTCAACGGCGCTACAACAACAACAACAACCGGCATCAACCAAAACCCGTACCTCCATTCTGTCATCTCTGCAAGACTTCAGGGCACCCTCGCACACACTGCCCGAATCGACAGCAATCAACACCACCACAACGTCAACTTCGCCCTTCAAGCAGTCAGGTAGCGTCCACACAGGCGCACCCCACAAGCCAGCCGCAGTCTTCAACAGCATCGCCAACACAATCTGCACAAGGAGCAAGAATCATCGTCAGCTGCATGGCAAGATTGACTGACTCCTGCATCACCGAGTCACCACCGCACTACTCACCGGAAGAGCAACTCGACAACAGTACCCCTCGCCGCGAGTCACTTCAACCGAACCCGACGTATGCAGCCATCGCTCAAAGCGAGCCGTCCGGGAAAGACACTTGGTTCTTGGACAGTTGCTGCGGACAGCATATGTGCTCTTCGGGTCGTTTCGTTCAACGAGAATACCAACTTCAACTCGAAGTTGTCATCACCGTCGCCAACAACCAGAACCTGCGCACACGACGACAAGGCGTGGTTCAACTTCAGTCACGCGAAACGAACGTTATACTACAGATGTCGAAGGTTTTAATAGCAGAAGGACTCGGCTACAACTTACTGAGCGTCAGCCAGCTGATGGCGAAAGGCATCCATCTCGAAGCAGATAGCACCACTCAGGAGTTCAAGCTGTACCACGGGAGAGGCGGACTTTACATCGGGAAGGCGGTCCTGAAGAATAACGTCTTCGTCCTCGACTTCGTTCCAGATTTAGGCACCGCTGACAGCGACGGAATCGTCACCTTCACCTCCTGGACGCACCCACCGGATCTTGATCCTGACTTCAGCCCCGAAGGCTTCTGGTATTCGCACACTATTCCTGAGGCAGAAAGAACAAGAGCATTAGCAACGATTCAACACTCGGCAGCAGCAGAGACAACATCGGCAGCAGCAGAGACAACATCGGCAGCAGCAGAGACAACACCGGTAGCAGCAGAGACAACATCGGCAGCAGCAGAGACAACATCGACACCAATCGCGGGTCCTTCAACTCCACCAGCCCCAATCGACGACGACACTCCACCGACTCCTGCGCAGCAACTGAATCCAACTCCACGAGAAGTCCATCGAAGCGCAAATTTTACTGCAGGCTTCTACTCCAACTCCGACTTATACCGACGCTCACCCGGACATCGCGCTGACGAAGATCTCTGGCATAAACGAATGGGACATCCGAGCAACACGACGTTAAACAACACGATACGAGCAGGCGTTCTTGATAAAGACTCACTACTCTTACCCGACGGCAGAGAACTTCGACGAATGCGAGGAACTTGCTTCACCTGCCCAGAAGCTGACTTACCGCATCAGCCCTTCGTCTCCCACCACAACCCAAGTGCACCAGCGTACGCACCTCTGGAGAAAGTGTACAGCAACATCCTGTACAATCGCGAACCTGGACAAGGAGCATACAGCTACACCAACACGTTCATCGACGCCGCCACTCGTTATGTCTGGCATCTCAACCTTCCAAGCCGCGACATGGCCTTCGAAGCCTTCGTTGCCTGGCTCCCAGTAGCAGAACGGGAATCGGGAGTTAAGCTAAAGAGCTTCCAGTCTGACGGGGGAGGAGAATACAACTCACAGAGGTTCAAGCAGTACTTGGCAGAGAGAGGAATCAAGCGGCTCATCTCTCTTCCCTACGCCCACCAACAGCAAGGCGTAGCAGAAAGGATGAACAGGACTCTCCAGAACACCATGCGCAAGCTGCTACGTGGCATGCGGCTACCCAACCA